TAATTAAAAATATATATTTTGTATAAAATTCATAAATACTAAAAGAATTAGAAAAGCATATTTTTTATTTTTTTATATATAGCTACTATATATAAATTAAAGAGTTTTATTTTGTGATAATGGAATAAGTCATAAAAGATTTTTTTTACAATTAAAATGAGATCACGTTATTATAAAATATAAATGCTTTTTATACTTAAAAATGAAATATTAGACAATGACTTAAGCAATAATAATGTTATACAATTCTTAGTAATATGCTACATAATTATGTCCTAGAATACTTATGCATTATATAACAATTATTTCTTCGTTAAAAGAATATATTGAGAAATAATATGTCTGATTTAATACAAAAGGCATAGAGGTTGTCTACAGTCTTAATATTCGCATGTGAGCAAAGGAGAATTTCTATTTAATATTTATATACATTTTTTATTACATTTTTCCTAACGCAAACGCATCGCGCTAAATCGTGACCTTTTCTAAAGCCGTATATTTCGTATCTTCAAATTGTCTTAAGTGAATCTGCAAATTAATGCTTCTATATTTCATGCCATCGATAATTGATTTAATTATAATTGTATGTTATAAATATATTTACCTGTAAATGTAAATTAACTTCAGCGGATCGGCTTAGATATGGAAAATTTCCACCACTTTTCAAATGTGCTAGTTTTGCATTTGGATAGCATTTATATACTTCTTCTCTAACTGCATTTGATAACGCATATTCATCAAAAACGTCTATTACTGTTACAGGTAAATGACAAATCTTTTGAGGTTGTACATAACAATTTATGCAATTCATTGTTAAACGAGACGCTAATTCGGATTGCGTTAAGCTCTCTAGCTGTAAAACATATGCATAACATATATAACATATTTAGAATAAATATTTTTTTCTTTGTATCTTTTATCTTTCATTAGTTTGAAGAAAATTAAGATTACCCGTTCCACCATAAAATCAATTGCTTCTACAATCTCTCCATCGACTTTCTCCGTTGCAAAATTTCCCATTACCATTTTCTTCAATACCAATGAAGGTAAAATCCAAAAACTACGAAAAGAAAAAAAATTTATCTTATTTTATCTACGCTTACATTAAAGCTATTTAAAATAGTCCACTTACACTGCTGCGGAATCATTGTAACTAAATACAGATGTATCTGTGAAGGTATTACACAAAACCAGAGATACTACTCTAGGACAGTGTGCATTTATTTCTGTAAATTTTTGTGCTAAAAAACCACCTGTGAATATAAAATTTCATCTATTAGATTAAATTATTATGTTACTTGAATATTTTGTTTGTACATTCTGACCTAGGGAAGCACCAAAAAGATGAACTTTATCAAGTTCTAAGTAATCTAACAACTTTCTGAATCCGTCACACCATTCCTTTATACTCCAATATACTGGTGCCTCAGCCTATAAAAATCAAATTATTATTTACTCTCTCTAATTTATACATTAGCAAGATATAATTGTATCTCTTATACTATTTTACATATATTGAAATACTTCAGAAAGCTTATCGTTTAACTTACTGAGATAACTCTGTAACCTTTGGCAGCAAGACCTAATATTTGTCTAAAAAAAATATCAGCAGTACCACAGACAGGCGGAAGACATATAAGTGGGCACTTGATAGTTTTTGGATTAGAATCGTATACTTTCCATCCCTAAAACAATTGTAAAAATATTTCAAAATGTTACCTTTTTTTTTTGTTTACTTCTATGCTTATACTCAAAATTATGAGGTCACTTTGCAACTCGGCGAAAATCGATAAAAAGAAAAAAGTAAATTAGAGATCGAACGTGAAAACTAATATAGAATTAATTTATTTGTGTAATAATACAGAATAATACCTTTGTACCGTCGGCGTCAACAACGATTTTTCTGAGCGGTACGGAGCTGCGAAAACTCAGATATTCCTGCGAGCGTGACAGCTCGCTCGAGTACGAAGACATATTTTGTTTTCGTTCACGACACGACGCCAGTCGGTACGTTGCACCGTGTTATCATCGCTCGACAGTCATGTCTTTCTTGATATCAGAAGAGACAGTACATTAATTATAATAATAATAGTTTGCATAATGCATCGCTAAAATATATTCACGGCTATCGATAATGTAAGCATAATGATTTTTAACTGCAACGACATTAACCAGCAATCAGCATAACAAATTCAAGATCTCTTTCGACAATGCATTTTAATCGTTTATTATTATTATTATGTATACTTACAGGTCCCTTTTGGGACAACACTGTCCCTTTTAGGACAATGGAATTTCCTCCGAATAAATTTTACCTGCTGAATCCACATAGAATTCAACCTTTCTGTTTTTTGAATAAACTTTTCCCTGAAGATATATTTTCCCTGTAGAAGCTAGAAAGTCTAAGCTCATCCATCTTTTTCGCTACTTTAACTACCGAGCACTGCTTGCTGTGAAGCGGATTATAAATAGATATTCAGAAATGAAAATCAGAAGGACACAATTCGTGAGTGTTTTAAATACATCATTGTTGTTATTATTATTTGTCTGGATTTTTTTTAGAAAAATGTTCGATTTTTTTCTTATGATAGAATACATTTGACTATTAGAAATGTGTAATGCAATTATTCTACGAAGTTTCTTGCAATCCTATTTTTCCTTTTATCTTTTCAAATTCATTCGCACAGTTGTCTTTGTTGCAACTTGTTTTGTAAAAAGAAAAAAAAACTGAAATCGATTTTATCGTGACTGTAAATCGTACAAATTTTTATCTCGCTTAAAAAACAATTATCAATTTTATTTTATATTCATTATGATATTTCATTTCGATTCAGTTATTTATATTCACCTTCAGTAATTACAAAAATGAATAATCAATAAAAAAATAAATAATGATTATAGAATGATAAATATCACCAACAGATGGCTCAACAATCTTTGTTCACGTAATGTTCAAAATGGTGAACATTCTTCAATACCAGCAATCAGTATAAGCAATTTACCTCGATGTGATCAATGATGGTCTTTTGACAAATTCGAAAAAAAACTTAAAAAATTTATATTATTTTCATGATTTAAGAATTATAATTATTTTTTAAAATTATTTTTAATGTATTATTTAAATACATTGCTCTAGGAGTCATAACTTAATCACACGCATTGTCTACATATATCTCTTTAATGTCTTTTAAATATCTTTTATGGGCTTTCTATAATAACTCATTATCTAAGCTTTAACTCTTAAACTATAAGAATTTGATCAATTATAATCGATTAT